ATATTTTATATTTCTTTTAGTAAACAATTTTACAGATGCCCAATGTTTTTGTTTAGATGGTTGAAAAAGCAACTGTGAGCCACTATATTAATATAAGTGATTTTCTAAAGAGATCATATACATATGTACATGATATGTATGTATGTATATAGTAAATTATAAAATAAGATACTTGATATTCAACTTTCAAGTTCAATTCAGATTTGTTGTGGTTTCTTACTGGAGCGGCGTACGTTCATTCAAATTGTAAATAGGAACCTTCTAGTTCTCTGCATATTAAGTTCAATGTCACTCAAGCTCAGCTCTACCAGCAAGTTGTAGCGCTTCAAAAAACAAATATCACATTTGTTTGTTTATTGTGCGTAATTATTCATGTTCAAATCGAAAATAAAATTTAAAAAAAAAAATAAACTAACAAACAATAATGAATTGAACAAGAGTGAACCGGAACTAAATTACGAGTCTTGTGCGTGTAAATGGGCACATGATTTTGTAATGAATTGTAATTTACTACCGGGCAGTATATGACCCGCTACAATTCCTTTGCAGGCATGACTAACACTTGAGCAGCTCTATTAAAAAGTGTATGTAGTACTTGCGCTTAAGGCGAACAAAGCGCTCTGAGGTTAACAACATTTCCCACCCAGACCCGCAGTTGGCGGGTGCAACCCGGAACGGAACGGGAACGCCAGTTCCAGCTTACAATGCAATGCGAGCGGGCAAAGTCCGCAGCAGAGCATAAGACTGCAAATGGCTGGACGAACAAAGCATAACCATAAAACGTATAAGAAGCGCGCCCGTCCGCTAGTCGCCGCCCAGCACCAAAGCCCAACGAGCAAAATAAAAAGAAACGAAACGAAACGGAACGAAGGGTGTAGAGAAACTTTAAATTCAAAAGTCATTCCACCCGCAGAGCGCAGACAAAGACAGCTCTGGACTTTATAGAGCATCAGAAGCATAGCGTCAACTGTTGCTCCCTCTCTCTATTACTCTCGCTCTCTCAAACTCTGCGTGTCTCTTCGCGCGTTCTCTTTGTGCGGAGCAATGCTTCAGCTTATTCTCCTGCTGCTCCTGCTTCTTCTTTTTCTTCTTCTTCTTTGTTGGCTAGACGAGCCCGCCAGACCAGCTGAGTTACTTTTTGCCGGTCGCAGCGACACAGCGATTATTGATTTTTGTTGTTGTTCTGCCCTAATCAAAGCGAACAACTCTGACTTGAGCATACGCTATGTCTCTTGTATATAATTATTATACATTTTGATAAGGGCAAAAATAGACTTAACAACAAGTTCAGAAGGTTAGCGATTAATTTTATATATG